CGACCCCCTCTTGACCTTCCCCTGGACCCAAGGGTGTGCCATGCAAATTTTGGCTGCTTTAGCTCTTACAGGGACTGAATGCATAGAGAACAAACAAACAAACAAACTTTCTTCTTTATATACATAGATACAGATTAAACTATGGTAACATTGACGTTTTTGTCCTTCAAAATACGCTGTAAAATATAGTTATCCTTTCGGTCAGTCAGATAACTGCAGTTTTAGAAAGAAGTAGTTAACAGTTGAAACAGTAACGGTGGTGTGTTCTTTTGAAATGTTTGAACGATGTTTTGTGTGATGCTTGACTTATATTTTTAAGAGAGTCGTTTGAAGATAACTGTTGTATATAAATTAAAAGAATAGAGTCCACCATTTTTTGAATAACTCGTGATAGAAAGCAGGTAGAGAAGTCCTGTTTTCGCCATTCGAAAGAGAACACTTGGGGTATGTTTCTATAAACAAAATTGTTTTCAAAAGAACTTTTTTGAAACAAGTTTTCTAGAAGATCTTTCAAAAGCTAGCTCGTGGGTAACGATTTTCCAATCGGGTTCGAGTGATATCTTTTCACGAGCTGAGGGCTCGGGATATGTTCTTCAAAATGAGAGACACACGAGATCTTTATTCACCGCGGTTCGGGCCTTCTATCGGATTTCCTTTGAGTCTCAGGACTGGCATCTAGTGACTGTTGGTGGTATTGAAAATGGAAGAACTATAGGTAACCAATCATGGTGAGTCTCCTGGCGGTATTTGGTTTTAGAAAAAGTTTTAAAGTTTGAATTTTCAATTTTACCGTTCCACACTTTAGTGTGACCGTTGACGAAGTGCGCTAAATCTTTTATTAGCCAATGATCAGTACTATTACTGACTCAAGATCCACGCAGACTCTCGCGGCAACAAGTTCTGCAAGTGAGTAACAAAAATTCCCCGGAAAATTGTGTGATTCACCAAGCCGGAGCTCTTGGAAGTAAAAATATGAGGCTATCCAGGCGGCATATTTCAAAACGTAGTATTCGCTAAACAGGTAACTCCTGAACCAGATATCTTTTATGAAACGCTTTTCTTTCCTGTTTTTACATCTTTCAATGTTTCCGGCGCTAAGCGCTAACAAAGTCTAAAATAAAAGTCAAAAGACATTGATATTATTTAAACGCAGCTAATTGAAACAGAAAAAAAAAGGTTAATAGTGTTAACAGAAAAAAGGTAATGTCACATGGACCTACCTACTTATTCTTGTTTAAATATTGAATACGGCATATTTAAATAGCATCTGTCTTAAACAGGTCCACTACCAACGGTAAACGTTGTGACACAAGCTGCGATACACGCCGTTTGAGCTGCGGTACAAGCTGCGATAACGGCAGGTGTGGCAATTCCAGCTGTTGCAGCAACTAAAGAAGAATACACAAAGTGATCAGCACATTCGCTTTTCACGAGATAATGCTTCCAATCTTACTTACTTGCTCCTACTTCGCCAGCACCTAGGCATGCAACATAGGCAGTTGTACAAAGGCCATGGCATACAACTGAACCGGTCAGAAATCCAAGCAGACCACCGTGACAACCACTAACGAGTAGATTTGATGCGATGAATAAGGTTAATAACAATTTCATTGTAGCCATTTAAGATAGGTGAAGCTTGAGAATTGCAAAAAATTAACTGGTAATTGTAGAAGTTAAAAAGTTTTATATTTTCTTTTCAATTTTGTTGAAAAGTCATTCTCACAACTTTATATACGGTTTCGCATACATAAGTTGGAAATATCAACAAAAGTGGGTTTTTTTGGTTTTTTATCTTTCTTTTTCTATTTACCTACTGTGTTAAATCGGCTCTTTTAGTCTGAAAATTTCCAGGTTGTAAGCAAGAGAATTCTTCCTTTTCTATCGACTATTCAAATTTCTGCT